CTATCGTTCGCAAACATCATGTGACAGACTAATTCGGGCGGCATGTAGCTACCATATAATGGTATTTGTGGGCCATTTTACAATATTAATTCTACAATATTTTTTAAAATTTTACCTTCTTGCAGGAGATTTTGATCTAGTTCTGAAGAACGTTCAAAACTTTACTTTGCACGACAAGGATGTACCACAATTGTCCAGTTTTACGCTTATGTTTTGGATCAACATTATTTCGGATGCCGACACCATGACAATCTTATCCTACGATGTGGACGAAAATACCGAAGGATTTTGGCTGAAGATTTGGAGAGAAAGGATTATACTAAAGTTTCAATCATCGAAAAAGTATGAAGTATTTTTTTGGTTTTCAATGGAGAAATGTGTTTAGCAAAAAAAGATTGAGATCGAGTGGTCTATAAGCAGATTAATTCATTGTTCAAGGCCCATCATATGTTTTTAACACATGTTTTCAAACTTTTTTCCAATTTCATGTAAATGAGATTCACATCCATTCAATGAACCACAGGTAGCCCGCTATTGGATTTGCTTTTAGTAAAATGTAAAATATTGAATACATTCTATGCAAAACGACATGAAGTGTCACCTTCCTTCATTCGCTGCTGACATATTATCACATATTATCGCAGGCAACAATTCGCGTGGTGCAGTGTAACCTTTAAACCTTTATGTATATATTAATATAAGGTTGGCAACTCTTTCAGTTTGTCGTATTTTCACATTTACGAATTACATACACAAACTTACACATGAAAATACTCGTACTTAAACACAAAAATATACATAAAAAACAAAATCTATGTAGGAACTGACTCTCCTAAGACATTTCCGAAACATTTGTTTGTCTTTAAAGCCATTGCAAATAAGTAAAATTTACGAAAATACAATCACTTTTTGGTTGAATTTTTTGAAAAGCCGTCGGGATCCCATCACCCTGCCCTACGTCACAGCAAACACGCAATATGATTGGCTGGTTCAAAAAAAGGAGGGTTCATCCACCGCCGCCATGATGAAATACGTGATCTTCTAGCAGCTACCATAGACGAAGTCACTCATGATGTGTCAGTTGAACCAGCACTCACTCCAACATCGGGCGAGCCCTTACCATCCGGGGCTAACACTGCTGATGACGCTCGTGTTGATATCGCTGCACGGGGTTTTTGGTTAAGAAGTGAAAAGGCATTCTTTGATGTGAGGGTATTTAACCCGTATGCCTCGACACACCGAAACCAGAGCCTCACCAGTGCTTTCAATAAGAACGAGAGAGAGAAGAAGCGCCAATACAATCAAAGGGTGATACAAGTGGAGCATGGCTCTTTCACACCTATTGTTTTCAGCGCTTTTGGAGGCTGTGGCAGGGAAACCCAACATTTCCTCACCATGTTGGCAGATAAGGTGGCGACGAAGCGACATCTGAGGTTGTCCGTCGTGATGAGCTGGCTGCGAAAACAGATCTCTTTTGCCCTCATCAGAGCACAAGTATTGTGCATTCGCGGATCACGTTCTTGGCGCCATGTAAATTCATCATCGAACATTGAACTGTCCGAACAATTATCAAATTTTAAAATGTAATATCTTTGACTATAATTGTAAACGTGTTGTGAAATCCGCTCCAGGATTACTTTTGATATGTGTAATACCTCAAGTTTGTAATTAAATATATGTCATTATGTAAAAAAAAATATGATTGGCTGGTTGAGTCCCGTTAACGTAAACAAATTTCAAAATTCAAAACTAAGCCAATCATATTGCGTATTTGCTGTGACGTAGGGCAGGGTGATGGGATACCGACGGCTTTTCAAAAAATTCAACCAAAAAGTGTTTGTATTTTCGTAAATTTTACTTATTTGTAATGGCTTTAAAGACAAACAAATGTTTCGGAAATGTCTTAGGAGAGTCAGTTCCCACATAGATTTAGTAGTTTTGTGTATATTTTTGTGTTTAAGTACGAGTATTTTCATGTGTAAGTTTGTGTATGTAATTCGTAAATGTGAAAATACGACAAAGAGTTGCCAACCTTATATTAATATTAATATTCAAGGCGACACTTCATGTCGTTTTGCATAGAATGTATTTAATATTTAACTAAAAGCAAATCTAATAGCGGGCTACCTGTGGATGAACATTTGATTGTGATCTGCGAATTGTCTGACAATGAAATTTTCTGTCCAAATTTTTGTTAATTATAATATACATTCCCTCGGTGAAAATTTTCCCGTTGCAATAATTAACGGATTTCATCTGTCTTTCAGGGTTATTTGGGTTCCGCCAATCAATGACGGCTATTGGCATCACGTGGGAGTATCGTGGTCTCGTGGAAAATGCGCTTTTTTTCTTGAGGGTACATTGGTTTACAGTGGAAATGATCTCGGCTCGAGTTCACCGTTGAAAGCTGGAGGTGTCTTCGTCGTAGGGCTGAAACCAAAAACCACAAATGGGACTTACAACCATTCATCTTTCGTCAAACTGAGTCAACTAAATGTATTGAGTGAGTTTATATCTACTGCTGCTGATGTTGAAAAGAAATTCACCAAACAATGTTGCTTAAATATTGAATTTGGAGATGTCATAAATTGGAGTTCTCTTAAGGACAAAAGATATGGTGATATGGTAGTCAAAGAACAGCCAAGTTCGTGTAAGCCACTTCGAAAAAGTAAGTTCTGACTCCAATTTCTTACCGCCCAACGAAATGAAACTTGCATGGAATCATTTCTCTTTTAAAAAGTTGTTGAATTACCCTAAAATCTACCCGATAGAAAAGAATCAATAACATTTGATATCATGTATTTGGGGTTTTTTTTCAGACCCAAAGTATGATATTGTTATAACACAATCACAAGACGTCCATATCTTAAAATGGGAAGAAATTCAACAACTCGGCGCTTTCACAATTGCAACGTGGATAAAATACGAGAAGAAGCCAGTGGATCTGGACAGAGAATCTCTGAATCACAGATATGTTAATTACACAAGCGCTTCAGGAACCCTCTTGCTTTCATTTTACCTCACCGCGGACAATCTAACCTTGGAAATAGATGGGGTTGAAAAAAGGCAAAAGATTTTATTATAAAACATATCATTCAGAAAGGTGTCTGAAACAGGCGAATCTGTTATAAAATCTTTCGGTTTCCTGATGAAGTGATGAGAGTTTGATAAGCTTTCAAGCCTGCATCTGAAAACATTTTCGAAATGACTTGTCAATCAGCAAACTTATTACCAAAAAGGAATGTGCTATGAAATGTTATACCGTTTATACCGTAGCTATTTTTTACCCGCTTGAAATAGCATTGCGATTCAAGACACTACTTACTAGTCTATAAACTATCTTTAAAACACGAAAAGAACCGCTTCATTGTAGTGGTGCATGCACCTGATGCACGTATTCTCCACTAATAAGAAAACTATAGAAACTAAATGTTAAATCAAAACCAACTCAGAAAGGTTACAGTGCTAGTACTAACTAATGTTCAAATTTTTCAGAGAAGCAAGAATACCAATGTTTTGGAATGAAGATCCAGCATATTGGCACCATATTTCTACCACATGGTCGAGTAGTACAGGCCACTGGAAGATATATCTGGATGGTTCCTTGGTCTCTACCATGCATGATGTGGCTTCCAATATTACCATTCCTGCAGGAGGACAACTTTCCTTGCAATTCAGTAAGAGGCATAAACTCTAGTCCAAAATTTGCACGCTGCACTTGAACCCTCTCAAACTCTTCGAGACTTTACTGATTTTTCTTGAGGCTTTTTAGGATCATATATGCGCTATAAAAATTAGAAATTATTAATACAACTATCTACCAGCAGATGACCTTGTTTCCATGTTAACTTGTTACGAGCATGTGAGAGGAAGAGAAAGGCAAATATTATATTCCAACGTTTTCCTGGAAGAATTTTTTTCTTCATAATCCTAGGCTCATTAACAAATTGATTACTATTACATACTTAGTACCATAATTAGCGATAACCATGCATGAGTAAAACAAAAAAGAGGCTATTTGCACGGTAAAAATGTATCAGAGAAAAGGTCTGTTTTTATCGAATTTCAGGTGGATACATGCATAATATCTCTCAAAGTAGACTCAATATTTGGAACTATGAAATTGATGGAAATGCTTTATCGTTCATGGCAAACAAAGGACCATTGTTTGAAAACGGTAATATCTTCGCGTGGTATGGAATAAGGTCAAAGGTTAAAGAAGACGTTTACTTCAAAGAGACACCGGATGATTTACACAACTCTAGTAAGTATGACGTGGTCTAGAACCATTCAATTTTATATTTAATACTGTAAATGAATAAAGAGACCATTCATCTTGACGGAGTATTTTTGACATCATAAAACAACAAAAACTCCGTAAATAATAGACATCTTAAAAATTATTTCTACGTTTCGACTATATTGACATTAGTTAAAGTTTTTTTTAATCTTCATCTAATTCGATGACCCTAGTTTAATCGAAATGTTTACTTTTTACCAAATTTCCTCTGCTTTATATTTTGGTGATCTTAGATATATACAATCTTCAACTTTCTTATGTCTTATTTAACTGATTACTATCTTAATTATCTTATAATAAGCACTTAAAAAGTTTAATTTGAAGATTTCAATACCTAGCATTAAGTTGACAAAATTTCGAACAGAAGGCCCCAGTTGATCTTATCACACAAATACAACCACTAATTATATACATATATAATAATAGCATGACGTAACAGCAGTGACCGGGCTGCCTGTGATACAACATTCAAACGTTTTCCTGTATGGATACTCTAGCATGCATTTTGTCATTCCTGACAACTGAGGAAGTTTTTAGTAAAAATTGTTTTGGATAATTTTTGTATTCGGTTTCATTTTCTTCTCATTCTGTCGGTAATTAACCTTGTCAGCTGAAGCTTTGTTGTTGTTTTCTCTCGCCAGGAGCAGAGTCGGTGTATCAGATGAGTTTTCCTGAAGCTTCGGTGCAAAACTATGTCAAAATGGAAAAGGTCGTTAACTACGATTTAACGGAAGTTTCCTCCTGTTTTTGGGCGAAATTCTTGAAAACCAGTGGTGCCATATTTGCCTACTCAACTCTGAAGTATGCAGTTGAAATTCAAGCTTATTTGTATGATTCCTTGGTGTTGGACCTTGAAGTTAAGAACAAATTTGTAAATGAAGGGTTTGTATACATTAAGTAATTTTGGCATCCCGGTCCAAACTTAAAATAATAAATTCATGCAAGTTAAAGTTTCGGTGCTGTAAACTCTCCGATGTCAGACAAATCTTGCTTATGTATAGGCTCACCCTAGCTCCTCTTACCACTAAGTTTATTTTTCTCATCAGCGAGAGTTTTTCCCGCGTAAATTTGTAAGACAACACAGCACATGGACTCGATTGACTATTTTTATACATTTTAGACCTAAGATATCTGCCTATGACTCGTGGCATTTTTATTGCCTGCAGTGGAGAAGCTTTGATGGTTTAATCGAAGTTTATCAAGATGGGAAGAAGATAGGAACAAAATACAAAGCAAAAAATCACACGATACATTCCAACGGCGTCATTGTACTTGGTCAGGAATTGGATTCCCATGCCGGGGGTTTTGATGCGATTCAAGCGTTCAAAGGGAGCCTTGCAGGGTTGAATCTCTGGAGTCAATTCATGACCACCAATGTTATTCAGGGAATGGCTTCTGGAATCTTGAATGTTAACGGAAATCTTCTTCAATGGAGAGATTTCAGAGATCATGTTGTTGGTGACATAGTTATACAGAATGGATCTGAGGCAGAAATTCCAGGTATGTTGTGATAGGATAAGTATATTCTTTTTATCACATTGCCAAAATTTTTCAACAGAATTAGAAAATTGTAGACAACATAGGTTAAGACGTAGAAAAGCGAAGAAAAATATGCATTAACTCAGGTCCTCCCGTGGAATTAAAAAATTTCCTGTCAAAATTTATATTAGGTCAATTTATACTACACGGAAGGATTGTCCGTCGAGACGAATGATCCGTCTGACAGATCATTCATCTGAGTATAAACACGCGACAAACTATGTAGACGAACTATGTGGGAGAATACGGTAAACGAAACAGAATTGCAATTTTAGAAAGTGCACCGGTATTAGGAAATTATTCATGTATAAAAATTGTGCACAGAAGACGTTTTATGATGGATTTTTCGTAGTTCGATCGTCCCAACCCCCAATTTATAGTAACAAACGGATGATGCATGAGGCCAAAATGAACTACTATTTCAAAATTCGTCCATAATAAGACTATGCAGACGAACTATATGCGAATAATTCGTGTTGCGACAAAAGTGCAGTGGCGTACGAGACACGATAATTGGGGGGGGGGCATTCATATATATTCATGTTGTGCAAGATTAATTTCCTTTCAAATCCATTGTCTTTACATGTCTGTTAATATGAATATATGAATTTGTGCCCACCAATTATCGTGTCTTGATAGATGATAGATGACAGATAGATTATCCGTCAGTTTACCCGCGTGCTTACACACAAACGAACTATGTACAGGGTGTATCAGAAAAAAGTAGACATTTTTGAAATATTTTTTAAACTAAAAGTTAAACCTTCATTCCATAAATCAAAATTCATTTTAACAAGTCATTCATACTTGCACAAGCCATTCAAAACGAGCTTTTTGCAAATCCCTCTCCCGTTTTTCGAGGTTTAATTTCCTGTTTGTTTTGTAGTCTTACATTGAGCAGACGATGCTGAAGTACTCATACTTGCACGATTCTATGCGATGTTTTGATAACTTTATAGTTTACTTAATATTCAAAATTGTCTACTTTTTTGTGATACTCCCTGTATAGAATTAAAAGACGAACTTTGTTTCCCTTGTCCAAGTTCGTCCATGCAGACGACGATAGGATGAATCGGACCAACGACAATTGCTTCGGTATAATTATAGGGTGATCTCGGCTCTAATACACCAGTTACTATGGCTATTATGAATTGCGACCATAATATTCTCGTTTGGCTGTAACTTGTAACCACAGATTGTCAAACTTACCATCTGCGTTGTTGTCTGGTAGAAAAAGTTTAATTTAATGTTTCAGAATATCGAGTACAGAATCTCCGAGATGAATGGTGTGAAAGAAACAACTCTAAAGCGTTTACTTATGCAAGATTTATCCGTGGGCGGGACACGGATGGCTACAGGTGGAGATGTGTTCAGGCAGCGGCCATGTTGGATGAGAATATGTGTTACGATATCACTAAGAATTTATTCTTGTACCGTACCAAGCACACGAAGAAAGAACTTTTGGGAATTAATTAAAAAATATTTCACTCCTGTCACATGGTTATTATTGCATCGTTAAACTAAAATAGAAAACATAGGTTAAATATTTGAGTAAGAAACATGCAACTTACAACGTCAGTTATGTCACTAGTCTGAGGTACTATAACATATAGCTAGTAACGTAGTAATTTAGGTATACGTCAATACACATTGTTGACACTAGAAATAGTTGTTTGATTTTATTGTGTTCGCTATAAACCATGAAGTAAAGAATTAATTTACTTTTCAGTCTCAGTTACACTGTTACGGTACCTTAATCGCTGTAGAAATATAGCCCCGTTTACACTACACTCAATTTATCGGCACGGCACGGCTAAAATAGGTACCCGTGCTCAATTTTGATATTGTTCAGGCTACCAAAACAAAGGCCGGTCACGAATGAAATGGGCACGGGTACTCATTTTTGCCGTGCCGATAAATCGAGTGTAGTGTAAACGGGGCTTATGTCGCGTAGTGTAATAAATACGCGTAGTGTAATAAATAGCACAGCGTTTTTAAAATCAGCATGTATGCACGTAAATAGTAAACAGTAGTTACAGTACATTCTGTAAACCGTAATTCTGTAGACACACTTTATTAATTTTACAGTCATCATGCATGAATGAAAATGCTTATAAATCATATATGTCAAACATTTATATATACAGGGTGTATAAAAAAAAACGCAACCACTTAATATTCTAAAATTCATATTGTTCATAAGCTCAATAGATTTTATGCCCCTGAGATTTTAAAATGGCTTCTAATCGTACAGTTCAACTGCTAATGGTCAAATTAATCAGCTAAACTAATAATGGTGCAGCTTACAACCGAACAACGAGTTTTTATTGTCGTGCATGATAACTTGAATGCTAACTGTCGACCTTGTAAAATAAATTGTAAATAAAATTTTACTCGTTAAATACTTTCATTTCAGCTCGTTGGTTTACGCACCCGACTTTGTTTACCGACGATTGTGCCGCTAGAATATGATTACAAGCTTTCTCGCATTCCAGGGGCCAAACGTCTTTTGTGTTGTAGAACAAAGAGGATATTCATGAATATTAAGTGTTGCGTTTTTTTTGATACACCCTGTATACACTTGTGGGCCCAACAGGGTGCTTAGGCATTCAAACTCTAACTATTGCATGTTTATTGGGTGATTTCAATATAGTTTAGTATTTTGAGACACCATGTAGTATCATTCTAGCATTGTGATTAAAAATATTCTAATCGGGCAATGTCTTTAAACATGCTTCATCGATAAATGAACCTTGTTTGGAACATTTATCTTACATTGGGGAATACTTTGAGTAGAACTGAAAGGGTTGCGCTTTTGTTAATTCAGGCGACAATAAGTATTCGCTCTTCAATGCATGGCAACAATGGCGGAGATGAGGCATAGAGCAGGTGCTTTGAGAAGCAAGCCGGCTCGCTTCCACCGACGAGGCAAATCATTTCGCACTAGAACTTGTTATAATGATTAGGTAAGTGAGTATAATCATTGATGACTAGGTGAGTATAACCATTCTTGTATGTCTTATTGCTTTAGACGTGACGACCTAGACTGTTTTATCCGATAATTGTTTTCTATACCTAAAATTTCTGTTATTCAGTACTTCTATAGTTCTATATAAATATTCCAGCATATTCGATTTTCATGATTTTCTAGATCTATAAATCCCCCATTGGTGGAAATATTTCGTTTTTCTATATGAAAATGTTAATATTCTTCTCAGTTCCGGCAAGGCAGTCACCACTTGATTTGAAAACTCAATGCAATTTACCTTTAGTCTGAGTACATTTGCACAGTCCAAAATTTTTCAATGATTCCATTGCTGTTCTGTACACATGCACATCAATCAACATGCAGTCAAATTTTGCACCTGCACATTGAAGCCATGCAAATTGCGACCATATCTTCCTTTGACAACTAATGGTCATGTTATTTCTGAACAGGGGCCGGTTGTATCAGGCCTTTTAGCGTAAACGGTGGTTAAGTTCAAAATAGAAAGCAAGTCTATCGTTTTACTCAAGAAGCAAAGTAAAATTTTTTAACCTTAATACAAAGATACTGTTTACAACTACATATTCAGTGCATAATATTCAAGTTGACTCGCTCCAGACAGATGTAAGAGTGTTATTTATAGTTTTGACTTATCCACCGTTTAAACTAAACGGGCTTGATAAAACCGGCCCCTGTACTGTAGGTTAGCGCTAACCCTGGGTTAAATTTTAATCCAGTGTTTTAGCTTATGTGCTTCTGAACCACTGTTCGTTTTAAAACTTTAGAAAATATGACTTCTATCGGTCCAGAAAATATTCATGAAAAAAGATATTTGAGTTGACTTTGTAAAAAAGGAATTAAAAAATTAGTGTAAGGACTTGCTTTACCGCAGGGTGGTTAACTAACCGGCTTTTGAACAACCGGCCCGCCATGTCATAATTATGGAGTTTATGATCTACAACACGGTTAGCTCGTTAGTATATAAAGTTAATTATACTGCCAGGACTTTGAAATAATCATAAAAACATTTCAATTGTGGCAAGAACCTCCAAGTTTTAGCTGATATTGCAGTTCCAAATATAAACTATGAAGCTATGTCATCGAGTGGCCATGAAAATGCCTCATTTGAAGGCGTCGTGTGAATGACAAGCGTGTCGTCGACGGCTGGCCGCGTCGTGAAACTCTTTATATTATTCATGAAGGATAGCACTTTAAAGCAGCTTTTGATGAAATTTCCTAACAATTGGCAGACTTGTTTAGAGGAGATCATGCGATTGCTTAATTATTTATGAAACATCTGTGGCGTAGCCAGCCTGACGATTTTATCCCGCTATGTAAATTTCGAGTTATTATAATTATTCGTGCCTTTAGAAATCTATTGTTTTCCCAGTCAGTGAACACCAAAATATTAGCATAGCGGGACAAATCGACAGGCTGGCTACGCTACTGTAATCTGACAGAAACATACGAATAAGCGCCACCCTATAGAACCACGGAGTTATTGGGATCGATGTTGAGAAAAAAACTCAATAAGCCATAATAAAATTTGGTTTAAACCTCTAATTAATGCATGGAAATGGCATATATTTTCAGTTTAAAGCACAGCAAATATTTTCTATTCAAATTTATCATGGGTCGTCTTATTTCACACTTGATCTTAATGATCTACACTCTGTTACGTCGTCTTCCATGCCCGATATTTGACATAATACCTCGAGTGTATAAACCCAGATATTTTGGTCACGTTTTTTATGCGATACATCCATCACAATATAAGTGGATTTTATTCGAGAACACGCGACAAAAGTATAACATACACACAGACCGCGGGGCACAAAACGCATGCATAATGCATGGACCGAAGTTCTTGTTTGGAGTGAAAATGTTGGGTTTTGCGATGATCATTTCTATTGGAGTTTGGCTCGAACCAGCACAAGGACAAGGAAGTGGGTGGATTAAAATTTGCTTTTATCTTCTTTTGACGTAATATATCTTCAAGTTATCTGATAATCGCTCATATATAAACGTGAAATTTAAAACTAGAATGCAAAGTAAAAGTTTAAAATTTCTACTTCTATTGATTTTACCTTAATTGCAAAATAATTCTATAAAATCACAAAATTTTATATACAAATTAATACTGCTTTTATACAAATGTTACATCACTAATTCTATTGGTGTGACTTTTATTGGTATTTCTTACGAGATCTATCATCGAAATATTTGGTTGCTGGTGAAGTTATACTTTTGTAATATTTAATTCTAAGTTGTACTACCATGCAGGTGTCCCAAAAAAGTGCTCCAGCTTGGTTGATAGCAACTTCCTAACCAGTAACCAGTTAAGTGATTACACTGGATTTATCGCGCTGTAAATTTCATCAGATACAGGAAAGGTTAACTTAAATTGTGGTATATTAGTATAATAGTATTATATTTTACCTAAAAATCACGGTGATATATATTAGTGTTCAAGTTAGCCTATTTTATAGACGTGTTTCATAGAATGCAAAATCGCAGCGTAGCAGAAAGAATATAATAAGAGGAGCATCGCTCGTATTTGAGAAACATTTGGTCATTATCTTAGCTTATATTTCAATAAATTATCGTGAGGATCTGTAGTGGTATAGCATAATGCAACAGTTAGGGCGCCCTTCAATTGCATGAGCAAAGCTTAATGAAGTAACATATTTATATACAGCGTATTTTGCATATTTTAAAGACATCTGGAAATAATGTACCGTTTTGAAAGGTATATAATATATCAATAATCAAATAATCATTTCCATGAATTTTTTTCAAAAATACAACTATAACATATCAAACGCGATAAGTAGCTATTTCGAATGAAACTGGAATATCGTTTTTTTGGGACACCCGCGGTATTTCCTTGTCTGTAAAAGTTTTCAAAGTAGAATTGTGCAGGAATAAATCCGACGAGTGTGAGATCGAGAATATAACGATTTCGAAAAGAAATTGGTGAAAGAAAATATCTGTGATTGCTATATAGGCATGTTTTTCATATATATGAAACTGTATTTTCCATTTTTTTGGACAGTCGGCTTTAAAGTACGTTTGTACATCGATAACTGCCGGAATAAACTAGATGAGCCTAAGAAATTAATGTTTCAACCAGGAGAAAAACTGAAACTTTTTGTCTCATGTGATGCTAATTGGAACGTGACACATTTAATGGACGACACTTTCCTTGTCCAAATGAAAAGAAACGACAGCAATGCTGCCCAGTCATGGCAGTGTGCAAACGGAGCCTCGTCTGCTTTTGTTGACGATAATCCAAATCGGCTGTGGTATGACGCCTGGTCCTATAGTTATCAACAGGATGGTCGTTGGTATTCTGGATTCATCTCGAAAGTTGAAGCAAAGTCATATCGACCGAACAAAGGAATGACGAATAAATGTTACGATCTTGTTTGCAGAACAAAAAGGAGTGGTGAGTACAGGTAAAGCGTCTTGCCTAGTTGCGCATGCTGCGAGATCTTTGAT